AGGAAGGAAGGAAGGAAGGAAGGAAGGAAGGAAGGAAGGAAGGATTGACATGAGGGGTCCTTGGTGGTCTCTGAGTGTGCTTGTTTTCTTGCAGACGTTTCATTAACCTAACTAGGTAACATCATCAGTGCAAGAAAACAACCAAGCTCCGAGAGCACCAAGGACTCCTCAGCTGTATTTTCTTTTTATCTCCTCTTGGCTGCTTTATAACCTCCCTCTGGTACCTTTTGGCCCCAATCTCAACTCGCTTCTGGTCCTGTCTTGTTTAAATCCATAGCTATATCCTTCCTTCCTGCCTGCCTGCCTGCTTGCCTTCTCCAGTGCCGCAGGTGAGATGCAAGGCTGATCTGGGAGAAATGCCTTGTCATCCACCTGTTTCAAGGAGTCTCTAATTTTGCTCATTGGATTGGGGCTAGAAGGAGGGTTAGGGGACACGGCTCCCATCTCCCCAGCCCTTTTGCACCTGCCGGATCTTTTTCTATGCAGCCCCCTCCTCCCCTTTCCCCCCATACCAATTCATCGAAGTATGTGGTTGCTGGCTCGGCATACCTGCAAGGGGAAACTGGGACCACCCACCGACCCACCCACCCACCCAGCCCTCAGGCTGACCGGATTCCCTGGAGCTGGATTGTGGGGGTGACCAGCTAGATCAAGTGGTTGTGGCAGCCAAAGTCCCTGTATTTATCCCCCACCCCTTGTTAGGGGAGGAAGTTAGGTGGAGTTTTCTCCAAGGTGGGGTGGTGGTGGTGGTGGACAGCCTGTATTGCTACCCTTTCTCAGTGCTCCCTTCGATCCCAAGGGAAGCAGATCCTTCTGGAGGAATCTTCTCCCAGGTTACTGGGGGGCAGTGGTGGGGGGATCCTGCCTTCTAGACACAGTTGGGGGGGTGTCTTCCTCCCTCCAAACAAGAGGGGGGGAGACAATCCTCCCGTTTCTCTCCAAACAGGCCTGAAGGGGAGTTTGGTCCCCCACACACAAGTTTTTACCATGGCTGGGCAAAAATCCCTCTTCCCTCCAACTCAACTCTGCCAGAGGAGCAAAACATTGCTGGCACCCTCCAGGACTACAACTATACAAAATGTATAAATGATTGTGATTGATACTAAAACTGTATGAGGAGGTATTGAATAATGGAAGAATGAAGGATGGCACTTTGATTTAACTAAGGAAACTTGAACAACAAAATAGGTGGAAAACACGTCTTTGAACATTATAACGATATGAAAGGGGAGGGAGTTAAAATAGGGATAGAAAATAGTAGGGAATAATAATAATTATATATACTCCCATGATGGATTGAATATTGTTAATAATTGGTGTTATGGGTAATCCCACACATTTGGAACATTGAAGCTATGGTGGGATAATGAGGGATTTTCATAATACTGAAGGACAATACCTAGGAAGGGATAACAAATATAGGATGCAAAGAAATGTTATTTGTGTTTAAATGAATTAATGGGGAAATGTAAAACAACTATGAAATGAGATAAATACTGTCAAAGTTAGAAGGTAAGAATTTCACATACTATTTGTATTATCATTGTTAATGTTGTCACAAAAAGATTTGACTCAGTCAATGCAATGTTCACAAATTATGTATGTTTATTATTAGGAAATAATAATAATAACAACAATTATTATTATGTATTAACAGGTTAAGGTATACAAAAGGACAGAAATATGGTTCAGAAATGAAAGGTAATAATAAAAGGCCTGTATAAATAATATGAAATAATGGAAATGAAATGTAATACGTAGGAATAATAAGACAATGTTTATGTGTATTGAAATGTATGTTACCCAGATAACACACCATTCACGCATTGATATGTATAGAATATAAAAATATGTATATTTATATATAAATAATCTCTGTGTGTGTGTGTGTGTGTGTGTGTGTGTGTGTGTGGTGTGTATGTATATAATTATCTGTCTGTCTGTCTGTCT